TCTCTCTCTCTCTCTCTGGGACAAGAGCCTCTTTTCAATTGAGTTTTTAAAATTTCTATGTAGTGTAACGTTTAGGTAATGCTCTAATACAAAAGTATTTTTCAGTTAGATTGTAAAATAAGATACCCATATTTTAATACTTTTGAAAAATAAAAAAAAATGATTGTATTATTATATTATTTTAAAAAAAAATCTATTATATCAAAATTTGTAACTATTGTTTTTAAGGTAATTATTATTTTAATTCTTGTATTATTACTAAAAAGACTTTAAATTTTATATTTTTAAATTGTTAAGTTTAGATTTTTTAGACTTTAAATTTTACTGTATTATTTATCTTCGGAATGCATCAAAAGCATATTTGTAAAAGATTAAAGGAGTGTAAGCTAATAAGATTATAAAATAACATATTAACTATTACTTTTCGCTATAATTGCATTGTAGCCATGTAATAGGTTTTCTTGTACATTTGCTTTATTTTTATGATTATTGTCTCATTTGATTTTTCTTTTTAAATTTTTTTGGATTCGGATGATTTTGGATATTGGCTATTGATTTCTGGATATTGAATTCTATTAATTTAGTTAAAAGGGATAAAGGTATCTCTTTTTCCTTTATTTTATAATGGATAGTGCTATGAGGATAATCTTTTTATATCACATTTTCATACAAGATTTATATGTTATTGAATGAGTTGATACATTTAATATTACAGGTCTCACATAAATTAAAAAAACTAATTATTTTAATGATACGTCAGATTGTACAAGAAAATGAAATAAAAAGATTGTACAAAAATCATTTCTCATTTTATAATTCTATTTCCAATCATATTTTTACATTGTTATTTTTATATTTTTGTATTGATGTGTATATATATATATATATATATATTTGAGACTTGTATCCCTTCCACCTACAAATTCTGGCTATGGCAATGGAAACAATAACCAGTTTCCTGTTTATGTTTGCCAATTTGGTTTCCTTCTTGCATACAGGAGTAGGCGAGATGTATTAGCCTGGGGATGTGGTTTGCCATGGGATTGATTGTAGGTATTTTATTTTGGTTTATTGGATGAGTGAATTATAAAATAAAAATAATCATCATATTTTTTAAATTTCTAATTATTTATCTCAAAGTTTACACTTGAAATATTTCGTTAGGGGTCTCAAATTTTTATCCGAGTAGACACCTTCGGCAGAAATATTTACTGGTTGGTGATGAGACAAGATTTTGATAGTGGAGTTGCTTTGGTGTGGAAATTAGACAGAAATTACAATGAGACCTCTGTGGTCTGAACTCCAGAGAAGTCAGAGGTCCGAACTCCAGAGAAGTCAACGACAGGTTATTGATTGATTTTACTGTGGGTTTGGTGGGTTAAGGACGCATGCTACCATGCCATTCTATTTTAGGCCAAATTTTCTATTTACACCTTATATATTTTCTACTTTTATGGTCGATACTTTCAAATTTTTTTCCGCTCGATCAATGTCCTAAAGTTTGCAAACATCTGCAAATAATCCAAAATTTAACGGAAAATTCGAAGGCCCCCTCACGTGTACATTAAAGACTGTTTGAAATTCACTTACGTGGCATTATTTAATGACATAGAGGAGCTTTTGGTTACGTGTCTAATATAAAAAATAATTTAAAAATAATTTTTTAATTATTTTTTAAAATAATTTTATATCATTT